TTCCAATTTTACTGAGTAACTCTGTAATTTTCGCTAGATTCAAATTGGTTGTCCTCACCTGTGTTCTTCTTCATTACATTTGGTTTCGCTGCCAGGATGAAGATACCGTGGCCGAAGGAGTTCGGGGATGGAGATGTGGGAGCCTTCCTGAAGGAATTTGAGTCTGTGGCGGAGCTAGCCGGATGGAAGCAGGAGAAGGCGGTGGTTTTGGGATTGCTGCTTCGCGGCCGAGCGAAGGAGGCGTATGACAGCATGGATGCCAAGGTGAGGACGTGGTAGGCGGTCACGAATCGGCTTGTCGCGGAGTTTGACAGCCCAGTGAATCGACAGGAGGCGCTTCAGAGGTTCAGGACGGTTAAGTTATCGGCGGATGGAGACCCACTGGTGCTGGCAGTCGAGTTGACCAAGCTGTTACATCGCGCGCTGCCGAGTTTGGATGAGGAATCTGAAGCTCAGCTGTTGGCATCGCAGTTCATCGAGAGTGTTCCGGACGCCATTTCCCAGCAGCTGAAGTTGGTCAACGCCGCACATCCGATGAGTATCAATGAATTGGCGAAAGTGACTCGACAGCTAATGACGCAAACAGCAGCTTCGGTGGCGTGCGCGAGTCTGGAGAAAGATGGTCTCGAGAAGAAAATCGATGAGCTGCAGCGTAAGGTTGCCGCAATGAGAGTAACTGGCAGCAGGAATAATAAATGTTACGCTTGTGGAGGGACAGGACATTGGAGGAGAAACCGTCCCACAAGACGAAGATACAAGTATGTGAAAAGGTATAATTCGAGTTTTGTCTGTTCGGGGAATCTGGGGGTTGTCGCGTTAGTCGATAGAGGAGCGCTTTACGCCAGAGTAAGCATTAACGAACGCGAGTTAGTATGTCTGATTGATACAGGGGCAGCAATATCGTTGATAAGCAGAGAGCTGTGTCAGAGAGTCGTGCCATGTACTTTGACAGTTCAAACCGTAGGGGGACACCGGTTACAGGTTCTGGGCACGTCTAACAGTAACGTTTAGGTAGGAAGTGCGGAGATAAGTTTCCAGTTTGTAGTGACAAACAGCTTACCGAGACCAATATTAGGAGCAGATTTTCTGAGAGAAGTAAAAGCGATAATCGACTTACGGAATGGTAAGATAATCACTAAGTATGGAGCATTCCCGATACATGAGAGTAGTGAAGTGGCAGAGATAAGGGTAGCACCAGACAGGTCGGAAAAGAAACCGAATATTCACGAGTTGTGTGCGAAGCACGGGAAACTGTTCACGGAGAACCGTACGGATTTTGCGATAAAGCAAAGCACGAAATTCTACTAAAGAACGAGCAAGTAACCATATTTACACCACGTCGCGTGCCTGTACATTTGGAGGCGGAGATAAAAAGACAGGTACAAGAGATGTTTAAAGAGGGCATAAGTTAAGAAGCAGACAGCCCATATAGCTCGCCAGTGCTCTTGGTGAAGAAGCCGAACGGAAAATACAGATTTTGTGTAGACTTCAGAGAACTTAATAACATAACTGAACTAAAACCATGTGCAATGCCCACTGTGGGGGAGACCTTGGATAGGCTGCAGAACGCCACACTGTTCACAGTACTGGATCTACGATCAGGATATTGGCAACTGCCGATAAAAGAGAGTGATCGAAATAAAACAGCATTTACTGTATGTGATAAGCAGTACCAGTTCAGACGAATGCCGTTCGGGTTGGCAGGTGCGTCGTTTACATTCAGAAGAGTAATGATGCTGCTGCTCAAGAACCTAGAGAATGTTAAGGTGTATGGCGACGATGCAGTGGTGTACAGCCGAACAGAAGCGGATCATGTCAACCATGTGGAAGCTGTCCGAAAGCAGATCAAACAATTCGGACTACGAATCAATAAGGAAAAATCACAAATATCGAAAAGTAGTGTCATCTTGTTGGGGCATAAAGTTGGGAATGGAGAAATAAAACCGTTGCCGGAGAAAATCCTAGCCATAAAGAACATCGCGGTACCTAATTCCAAAAGGAAGCTGAGACAGTTTCTTGGAAGGGCGGCTTTCTACAGTCGATTCGTCAAGAACTTTAACGAAGAAGCGGCACCCCTCTATAAGTTGTTAAGCAACACTAAGTTTACGTGGACAGAGACTGCCCAGAAAACGTTCGACCGTATCAAAAACCTATTGGACGACCGCCGGATGACGCTACGATTACCTGAACCTGGAAAACTGTTTACGGTGACAACAGATGCGAGTGACCGTGGAATAGGCGCCGTCTTACGTCAATCTGACAGTGTGATAGAATATGCGAGTCGCGTTCTCACACCCTCTGAGCAGAAGTACTCAACGATCGAAAAAGAGTGTTTAGCGATTGTCTGGGCAATAGAAAAATGGAGGCCATACCTACTAGGTAGGCGGTTCCACGTCGAGACTGATTATAAACCCCTGCAGTGGCTGAAAACAGCAAAAGACCCCCGTGGTAAGTTGGCGCGATGGATGATACGTCTGCAGGAGTACGACTTCAGTATCGGCCACGTTCCAGGAAGAGAAAATTTGGTGGCGGACTACTTATCGAGGCCGGAGATGGATGCTGAGCTCCCAATGACATCATACGCAGTCAATAGCCTTGACGGAGACCCACTAGAACTCGTCCGGCAGCAAAAGGCTGAGCCTAACCTTCGAGGGGTGATCAGAATGATAAAAGAAGGGGCAGGTATTGACGAACGGCAGATGAACAACGCGGTATTATTACTGCTTCGACAAAAGGAGAGACTGAGGATTAGCACATATGGAGCCCTGATCTGGCGAGATGATGATGAAAATTTGGTGGCAGTGATCCCAAAGAACATGCGGCATAAGATGATACAGGAGTGTCACCAGGTAGCTCATACAGGTATCACACGAACGACTGATCTAGTAAGACAAAGTGCATATTGGCCAGGCATGAGAGACGATGTGGCACAATATGTATTGACTTGCCAGCGGTGCCAACTAATGAAAAGTAATCGATACATACACCCGCCATCGCAGTCAGTTCCCGTAACTGCAGTTGGTGATCTATGGCCAGTGGATGTGATGGGACCGTTCCCGCAGACAGCCAGCGGCAGTCAATACCTGGTGGTGATGACAGAACTTGCCACACGGTGGGTAGACGCCGTACCAATTCCAGATCAGCGGGCAAAAACACTGACGGAAGTAGTCATCCGGCACATTGTGGCATGTCACGGAATACCGAAAACAATATTAACTGATCAGGGTCCCTGATTTGAAAGTGACGAGTTTAAGTCTCGTCTGGAATAGTTCGGTATCAAGATAATACGAACTACACTATATCATCCGTAGACTAACGGGCTTACAGAAAGAAACAACCGGACGTTGAAGGAATGGTTAGCCTCTAAAGGAGGGAATTGGGAGAAGGAATTACCACTAATCTTACTGGCGCATCGTGCCTCAATACCAGGAACAACCAAGAAATCACCTTTCCTGCTTATGTACCGGAGACATCCGCGACTTCCAATGCACAATAAGACATGGCCGCAACAACATAAGTGGACGGTAACAAGGTTAAAGAAGGAGAGGAGGGAGGCAATCAGCAATATAAAGAAAAAACAGATGTCGCATACAACGACAGAACAGCAGAGTAGGCAGTGGAAGCCGTTTAAAGTCGGGGACCTGGTAAAATGTAGAGAACGGAAAGCCACCGTAGCATGGGGACAAGGATCAGGGAAGCTGCTCCCGAAATGGGAAGGACCGTACATTGTTATTGAGAGACGTGGCTCTGTTTACACGATACGGAAAGGAGACAACCAAAAACGCGTGAATGCCAGTCAACTGCAGAGGTGGTTTCAAGATTATCAAGCAGTGTGAGTCACGGAAAGCACCAAAGAAGACAGCGA